GTACGCCGTAGTAAATCGTAGTACGAGGTAGTATTATGAATGAAAGTGATTGTACTATAATAGTACGTCGTAGTAAATCGTAGTACGAGGTAGAATCATCAATGAAAGGGGTTGTACTATAATAGTACCTCGTAGCAATCGTAGTACAAGTAGATGTAGAATATCAATGAAAGGGTTGTACTATCATAGTACATCGTAGTAAATCGTAGTACGATGTAGTATCATCAATGAAAGTGATAGTACTATAATAGTACGCCGTAGTAAACTCGTAGTACGAGGTAGAATCATCAATGAAAGTGATTGTACTATAATAGTACGTCGTAGTAAGTCTTAGTACGATGTAGTATCATCAATGAAAGTGTGATTGTACTATAATAGTACGTCGTAGTAATCGAGTACGAGGTAGTATCATCAATGAAAGTGATTGTACTATAATAGAGTCGTAGTAAATCGTAGTACGATGCAGTCATCAATTAAAGTGATTGTACTATAATAGTACGTCGTAGTAAATCGTAGTACGATGTAGTATCATCAATGAAATGATAGTGATAGTACTATAATAGTACGCCGTAGTTAAGTAAAATCGTAGTACGAGGTAGTATTATGAATGAAAGTGATTGTACTATAATAGTACGTCGTAGTAAATCGTAGTACGAGGTAGAATCATCAATGAAAGGGGTTGTACTATAATAGTACCTCGTAGTAAATCGTAGTACAAGGTAGAATCATCAATGAAAGGGGTTGTACTATCATAGTACATCGTAGTAAATCGTAGTACGATGTAGTATCATCAATGAAAGGGGTTGTACTATAATAGTACCTCGTAGTAAATCGTAGTACAAGGTAGAATCATCAATGAAAGGGGTTGTACTATCATAGTACATCGTAGTAAATCGTAGTACGATGTAGTATCATCAATGAAAGGGGTTGTACTATAATAGTACGTCGTAGTAAATCGTAGTACGAGGTAGTTTCATTAATGGAAATAATGGTCAAATCGTAGTACGATGTAGTACCATCAATGAAAGTGATTATACTATAATAGTACGTCGTAGTAAATCGTAGTACGATGTAGTATAATCAATGAAATGGGTTGTACTATAATAGTACGTCGTAGTAAATCGTAGTACGAGGTAGAATCATCAATGAAAGGGGTTGTACTATCGTAGTACGTCGTAGTAAATCGTAGTACGATGTAGTATCATCAATGAAAGGGGTTGTACTATAATAGTACGTCGTAGTAAATCGTAGCGAGGTAGAATCAGCAAATGAAAGTAATTGTACTATAATAGTACGCCGTAGTAAGTCGTAGTACGATGAATAATAAAAAATTTGACCTTTTCAATCCAAATCTGATGCCATTTAAATCATCATTTAAATAAACGCAAATTATCTAAGTTATAAACCTTGTACAAGAAGTTCTATGCCAAGACCACTAGCGCCTCTACCGGCAGCGACTCCAATTATTTACAGTACCATAAAATATCGTTTG